GGATAAGGCCCCAAGTGGCAAGGAGGAATGGCCACAGCCCCAGCCCAAGGCAGTGGGGTAGGGGGCTGGACGCAGGCCTCTGTCCCCCCCTATCATTTTTGATGGGCAATTTGCTATTTAATAAATATTTTTGGTACTTTGCTTTGAAATACTGGTGAACATAGTATTTAAAAAAGTGTAAAAATGGTGCACACCTGATCACCTTAGGTTTTCAGATTAAACCAGAACACAAATTTGATTATAAAATTATCTAAACACCAGTTGAGAATTAAACTGACCATGACATTCTGTAACACATGCGTGTGATGCAATACATTATTTGCATGAGAAATGTTGGGTTTTTTTGAAAACTATTTTAGCTACTTTGGATTTTTTTTTTTTTTTTTTTTGAAAACAAACTCCTCCAAGGTAATTTTATATGAAAGAGACAGGAAGAAGTTTAGATTTAAGACAAGACATTTAGTATTATCATGTAGTCTTTAAAAAAATGTAAGAAAAATAATCATAATCTTATCACCAAACCTGTCTTTAGTCAGTCGTCCCCAGATGAAGAACATTCCAGCAGTATCAGAATCTAAGCGAGAAACTTCAAATTCCAATGCATCTCCTATTTTTAACCCAAGGTATTGTTGTTGTTCAGCTGACACACAATCATGTTTAGGGATGGAAGCATTGAAACATCCATGTATCAGACAGCCAATGTGACTAGGGACAATTTTATTGATCACACCCTAAAAAAAGACAAGACAGTAAAAAATCAAACAAATTTGATTCAAGTTTCACATTTTCTAATACAATGGTTCTTGACATTTAGTAAACCACTCCCAGGTGCCAGGCACTGTCTCTCCCCTGCCAGCCTGCCTCCTTTCCAACACCATGCACAGCTCCACAGTTTACTTGCCATATGCTCCTCTTCCCAGCAAGTTACTGATCCTCAAGCTAGCTATCCATACAGAAGTAGTGTAGCAGTGTTTACCCAGTACTGCACCCGAAGAAATTGGTAGTCTCTCAGCAGAGTTATTTAGCACTGCATTAAGACAGCTCTCTGCTATGTCTAATCTCAGCTTAATTCTACCTGGGGCTGCATGAACGTGTTTAAAGGGGGGTTAAGGGTCAATTGAGCCTTTGCATCCCTCACAGATGCTTTTGCAGCCTATTTGCAGCATCTCAGCAATGCATTCGTTGAGAGCTCCTTTCTTCTTTTCACTTGTGCCTACAACATTTTAAATCTGCTTGGAGTTCCCTGGATGTTGACTTTTGCACATGTAAGAGTCTACACATACAAAGCATGCAATCAATTTGTATGACACACAGCTTTCACAGCTGTAAATACTCACGTTACTTCTAAGATGTGTTTGTTTGTCTTTCAAATTACAAAATTCAAAATTTGGATGCTTAACAGCAAAGAAGAGTATGCTAAACTGTCACAGCCTGACCCTAGTAAGTACCTACACATATAACAGGATCTTAAAATGCCATAACCCACAAGAATGTCTCATGATCAGGCATTCTAAGAAAGAATATGATAGATGACAAAACACAGACAAGAAAAAATATTTTCAAACCTGTTTGAGATGCATGGTACATTAGGAAAGGAAGCAGATGATGTGCCCTGCTTATGAAAAAGGGTTCTAAAAACTGTACTTTCATAAAGATTAACTGTGACTAGTGCTGTAGTCATTTTTCTATTTAAATGTTCCGTTCATAGCCACATGCAATGCTTTGAAAGTAGAATTTTCTTTCATGCTTTGAAAACAACACATTTATTTTACCATTAAGACTCTGGATGTGGAAGTTGTCAAATTGCTAAATTAAAGCAAACTGTTTAACCCAGTTCTGTGCCTAAAGACTGTAAGGGCAATATCAGCAAGTTAGTATCTTGATTTACTTTTGCAAATACACCTGCAAAAGTACTGGCATGGGCATCTCCGAAAACCATCCTTCCACAAGGCAGAGATACCTGGCTCACTGTTTGAATTACTCCAGAGCAAAACCTAGGTTTTGTGCCAAAAAAGGGCATGTGGGTACCATATAACCCTGTTCCAATGACAGAACTGAACAGATACTGGTATCTGGCTCCTAACCAGCCTTCAGGAGAAGATGCATCTACACTTCATGTGTTTAATGAACAGCATTTTAAAAAGCAAAAGGTAAACCTGCACCTGGAGTTACTGCAGGAGACAAGACAAACACAAGTCTTTAGCACAGGGGGAGGCCCAAGGCAACACAAACAGCCTCCACATGTCAGCCTGGGGAAGGGACAGGGAGCAAAGCAGCAGAGCAGGCAGAGGAGGGTGGGAGGAGGCATCCCCAACCCTGCCGGCTTCATCCATTTCCCCAGAGCTGCCCCAAGCTGCGATTGAGCAGGTGCAAGAAGCACTCGCGCTGCTGCCACCTACGTACCACCAGCTTGGTTCCTTTCTGGGGTGTGAAGACCACGAAGTCAGCTTCGATGTGAAGGTGGATGGAGCCCTGGTCGTCGTGAATGTCGCCCAGCGCCCCCACGATCTTCACGTGGCTGTAGGCCAGCGGGACGCCACCCAGGCTGTAGGAGCAGCAGGACAGTGAAACAATGAGTGGTTTAAGCCTCCCTCCACCCAACCCTATCCTATCCTATCCCGCCCCGCCCCGCCCCGCACCTGTCGCAGTAGCGCAGCAGCCCGGCGTCCAGCTGGTCGCGGATGCCCGTGAGCTTGCGATGCAGGAAGCGCGGCGCCAGCGCGATGTGCCTGCGATGCGGCACCACCACCAGGCACGAGTAGCGGCTCGGCACCAGGTCGCAGGCCGCCGCGAAGGATGGCACCGCCAGGCCGGGCGCTGGGACCGGGGGCTGCGCGGCAGCCGCCATGGCCCTACCGCGTGCCGCTCCTCCCGGCGCATGGCAATGACGTCACGCGCCAGGCCTCCCAGGGCGCCGCTCCCAGAGAGGGGCCGGAAGCGCGGGAGAAAGAGCGCGTCCTCCTGGTGTGCGCGCGCACGCTCGTGGTAAAGCTAAGCGCGGCGCCACTTCCTTGGGCGGAGCGAGCGCAAGCGTTCGTCATCCGGGCTCCCTGCGGTAGGAGGGGAAGGGGGCGGGGTTTTGGGGCTCAGTACGGTGATTGGCAGGAGGTAGATTGCAGGGGGAGGTAATACTGAGAGTGGGCAGCGGGCGGAGCGCGGCCCCTAGCGGCGGGCGGGGGCGTTGCAGGCACCTGCTTCCCCCGTGGTAGCCAGAGCCCTGGGCTGGCCCCCCTCGTAGCAGCCGGGGCTGGAGGGGCCCCCGGGTGGTACAGGCCTGACTGCGCCTAATGTCGGATGATGCGGGGACGAGGGCTGGGAAGACCCGGCCACACGCTGCGTATACTACGCAGTTCACTGGGATCGCACAATAAATGGAAAGTAACGTTGAAGTCCTCGTCTCCCTGTGAGAAGGACCGTCCCGCCGTGAGGAGAGGGAACGGGCCACAGAGTTAATGCTTGACAAGGTGTCGCGACACTGTCCATCCTCCGAGCATGGGGCAGGGCCCAACAAGCCCTCGGGACCCTGCCGCCGCTGCGCCGGGCCCGGCTGGCAGGGAGAAGGAAAAGGCACTTGGAGGCTGCAACTGGCCCTCGGTGGTTTTGGCTCCTTCCAGTTAACTCCAGAGCTCAGCCCGTGGTCAAAGGTGAGAGCCGCAAGGCTCAGCCGGGTGCAGCCTGGAGCCCCTCTGAAGGGGGCCGCGGGGACCTGCGCAGGGGTAGTGCTGTTAGGGGAGTGCACATCATTCACTGGATGATGGGATCTCCAGGGACAAAACCATCTGAGCAGTTGTGTCGGCACCTCCTTGGGAAGCTCTTGCTGAGGCTGCGGCTGTGCTACGCCCTGCACCTTTTGCTCACGTGTTCCCTGCCTGTGGCCCTGCCAAGTCCGGGGACCTCCTGGCCAATGTGCTCTCCTAAGCTGGCCACCTGTGCGACTAGGAAGGAGGCTGTGGTTGGGGGACATCTTCCTGTCCCATACCCATTCCTGCTTTCTGGCAGAAATTCACAGGGTGATGTTCACGGGCTCCTGGGATTCATTTGGCGTCGAGGTTGCAGGTTCTCTGCTTGGTGTCCCACTTTCAAGTACCCATTATTGGGGACCCACCCAAACCAAGGAGGCAGGCCGCCAATTGTGTGGGCAGATCATGGGGCCAGTTGCCATTTTCACAGGCTTATTGTAGTGGGGGTCCCCCACACCTCTGATTGACCAAGGGGCCCTGATAGTCTTTCCCTCTGCTGCTGATTGGTTAAGAGAGGCGTCCATCATGTGGTCCTGCCCCTCTCTGCTGATTGGTGGAGTGGTGGAGCTGCGTGACAAGCAGTCCTCTCAGCCAGTCAGTGGTAAGGATGATAGCTGGTCCCTTTCATGTGGACAGCCCCTCTCCTTCATTCCCCCACTCCATGGGGTGTGTAGCTGGGCTGCAGTGGCCATGACAACTGCTAGCATCCACTGGGGCATCAGCATTTTACTTTTAGTAAATCCTTCCCCTTCTCACCCCCATGGATTTCACAAACATTGCCCAATTTTGTGATTTCTGTGAAATTTGCATGAATTGAGTAGATCCCTACTCATTAACCTTTGACCCCCACTCCCATCCCTGTTGTTCCCCTTAAAGGATTAAAACACTGCACTTTTCTTGTCCCTTAAAATCTGCCATTATGTTTTTGGTGGCCTCCCTGATTGAGGGAAGCTTATAGTTTCCTCAGTGGGCCTAGCACTCTGACACTCAGCACAACAAATAGGCCTGATCCATTATGACCTTTATGAAAAGAATTGCTCTGTTATTTTTCCATAGTCAAAAAATAAGTGAAAACAAAGAACTGGCATTTTCCCAGGGGTGCCTCAACTTTACTGAGGGGTGCTTTGAGATGAAAAGGTTGAAGAACACTGGGTTAGAGGCTGAACTCTTCGAGCTGTGCAGTGTTTTAATCCTTAAGGGGAACTAAGAGGGACAGGGCAGGTTTGTGTAGAAGCACCTATATTTTCCTGTCTAAGTAGAGTTACTTAATTACCATTTAACTCTGGGGTTACCTAATCTCTAGAGTTGCCCCTTTTGCTCTAGTTGACCAGAGTTATATCTTTCTGCATATCCAGAACTGTCCAAGTCTGGACAGAACTGAGCAGCTTGGGTTATCTGTTGCCTGCCTTTGAAAATGCTAAAGTCTGTAGATGCCTTGACACATGGAGAAAAGTACCTTTGGAGCAACTTCAAAAGCGGAGTGGGGAGCCAGTTCTCAGGAGTGCAGGAACTGTTACAATGTAACTGCTACATTTGTGTGAGCCCCTGAGGATACAAATACTACTCCAGGTTTAATCCTGCTTCATGCAAGGTCAAGTTGAGGTTGATTTAGCTGAGTTAAGTCACCACAACCTCATTCTCAGGTAACATAACAGCATAAGTCCTGTTATGTTGTCCTGATCAGATGTTCCTCCCTGCTTTTGAAGCTGCTCCAAAGTATATATGTGTCTATACCAGTGGTTCTCAATGTTTTTTTTAGATTTGAGGCACCCCTCTTTGACTAGAGCAATGATTCTCAACCAGGGTGTTGCCAGATCCTTTGAAGGCTGCCTAGAGGTGTGAGGAGATAAGCAGCAAAGTGCAGGCTCAAGCTTGTCCCTGCCTGGATGATCCCTCACGCCCACTGAACAGCCCGTCTACAAGGAGGTAAGCACTGTAAAATAGAAATTAGTTTTTGAAATTGGGTGGTGACAGAGGGAGCGGAGGCGGTCCAGCATGATTGTAATGGGTAAAGAGATGTAAACAGGTACGCGGGTACTCGATATGAGTATTGTAATGGAAGTTCAGTGTTGTAAAGGTGTATGTAGGCTTTCCCCCTAGCTTGCTCCTAGCCAAAAGGCTGAAGGAGTAAGTGAGACTACAGGACATCTGAACTCCAAGGCCTCTGGACTTGGGGCTTGCACATAGGATGCCTGCTATGAATTTGGGAGTAACTGAGGCCCCAGACTGATGAGTCTGGAAGGTGTACTATACTCGGTGAACAGTTAAGCTCTGCTCAGTCAAAATTTGGAACTTAATCCAGAACTGATTTGGCCCTGGAAATGAAATTTTATTAAAAAAAACAACAAATCTTGTATATGAAGAAATAAGAAAGTGTTGCCCAAGAGTGTGTGTCTGGACTACCTGTGCCAAAGCTTGCAGCAGCTTGGACTAAAGGTGAAATGCATTATTTCCAGATGAACTAAGTCTGTAGGTACCCAGAGTAATTTGCCAATATAGAAATTACTACAGGCAAATTTGTTTCAAAGATAGTGTTTATTGGTCATTTGCGTCTGAAATATCCTCTCACTTTCACATGCTCCAGAAGCAAGCAGAGCCTGAGCAGATTCTCATACTAAGGCTGGGAAAGCTACTGCATGGGCAAGAATTTGGAGGGTCAGAGAGCAAGGAGCACCTGCGCCCCTGCCACTGTTTTACCTTCTCTATCCTTAAATGGCATGGCCATACCCTGTATGTGGAGAAGCTGGACCAGGGGCTTCCTGCCTCATCTGCATATAACTGTGTTTGGAGGGTCCAAGGACTCATGACAAGAATACATGGTTCAGCTAATTAGCACATGGATCCTTTGTTGCAGGTATCTGGAGCACAAACACATACTGAGCAGTGCTGGGTTCTTGGGTTACCATGGCCTGAAATGCTGCTGACTCTGCTGAGGCCCAGCCTGATGATCTATATGCTCAGCTGTGAGCTGTTAGGCTTTGGAGTACTATCATTTCTTGCTTGAGCTGCAGATAGAGAGATTCAAAAGTGCTGCTGATCAAAATAAGTGTTTCTGGACTGCCTGTGCTGATGCTTGCTGCAGTTTGCACCCAAAGGGAGACACATCACTTCTGTATAAATTAAGTGTATACATACCCAGATTAACTTCCCCATATCCACATTTTTAAAAGCATGTTTACTTAAACATCGGGGTTTTTTGGTCCTTTATGATTTAAATTTGCCCCTCACTTCCACATGCTCAGAGTTGGAGCAGAATCTGAGCAAAATCTGATGATAAGTGCAGGGAAGGTGCTGCAGGGGGAAGGAGCAGAGGTCGGGGTTGGTGAGGGGGAGAGAGCAAGGGGGCCACTTGACTCTCCAAGGCCACCATTTTACTGCTGTAGTCTTAATAGTGTAGCCTCATAGGGCATTTGTCCACATACATTTTTGTGCTCCAATGTGCAGGACATCTGGCATGTCAGAGCAGACTCAGTTAATCAAATCTGCTCCAGACATGAGCTGACACGCACTGCACTGTGTCACGTGCAGTTGTATAAGTGGTGAAAGATGTGTCAGCATGCAGAAAATGGCAGTGGTGTGCTTTTGAACTACAACACCTTTGTGTTTTAGTTCAAAAGCGTACTGCCACCATTTTCTCAGAGCTGAGGTGCATTTCACCGTTTATGCAAATGTATGTGCCATGGCACTAGGCACTTTTAAAAGTGTGTGGAGCTTCGATGCAAGCATGTGTACAAATGCCCCCAAAGACCAGCAGTCTCTTCCCATGCCTGAGAAAGGGTGCTTGTGCCTGAAACTTTGCTAGCAAGGAACAATTTTTCCAACTATCTAGGTGGGCTAATAAAAGATATTGCACTTACCCAAAAAAACTTGTCTGCCTAAGAGGATTGTAAAATTTGTGAATCAGTACAGGATGCAGATGCTGGCCGAAATAAAGTTGGTGGACCATAACAAAAATCAAGGTCTGGGTCAGGGAAAGGGAGACTGTGGGTGCATCTATATGTTCAGTAGATACTGGGATTTTAGTTTAGTATTTGCTTAATGAAGTACTAATTAAATACGTAGTAACTACAGTTACTGCTCAGTAGCTCTGGTGCACTGTTTTTTATTGACATTTATTGTGCAGTAGTGTATTAGCACAGTTTTTGCCTTGCATGCTACTGCACAGTCTTATTAGGCTACTGTGTATTAAGCATCTTGTGTAGATGGAGCCTGTATCCCCAGTGGGTAAATTTATAAGGCAAGAAGGACAGACAGTTTGGAAAAGGGTGTTTGAAAAAAGCAGCACCAGGACTTCGGTTGGCTGCTAGCACATCAGATTGTACTGGTGCAGGTGCTCCTTACAGTTGGGGACTGTGTAGAACAGCTGAGTGCCCCAGACAAACATGTCATGGGGGAGAAAGAATGTTGCATGTGATGTGGGAGTGTATAGAACAGTTTGCTAGAATGGTCTGGGGGAATGCAGAGAAACTTCTGCAATGGCTGGGTGCTAAGAGCCAACTCATGCCAGAAGCTGTGTGGCGTGTAGGTCAGTGCCCCAAGGAAGGATGGAAGAAGAGTATGAAAAGATCTAGCAAGTTTTCACCACTTTCACGTGACACTGGAAGGAAAGAAACTTACTAGTCTTGCAACAACTGGAACTCTCTGTAGAGAATTCCTGCATTGGGCTTGAGTGAACTGGGCTGGTATTGCTGGAAGGACACAAGATAACTAGGTAAGGAGCAGGCAGTGGATTTATGGAAAAGAGAAGAATGGAGATACCTAGTAGATTTAGGAGGATGGAAAGATGATGTAGCTTGACAGGTGGCAGAGCTATAGTTGCAGCCAGGTGTTGGCTAGGAAGAAAGGCATGTTAGGGGCTAAAACAAGACCTATATGAGATAAGGGGTGATAGGTGTTAATAGATGAGCTTGAAAGGTGATGGGGAATAATGTATTAAGAAGCAAAAGTTTCTAGGCCCCTGGATCAATTAGAACTTGGGGAAGGAGGAAATCTTTGGATAATGTATAAATGTTCTGTGTTCCTTGTTGGTTTTATTTGTCAAAGTTTTGGAATCTGAAGGAAGCATGTTTTAAATTTTGACACTTAATTGTTTCATTTTCTTCTTAGTTGATGTAGTTTTTGGAACGTAATTTAAGCTGATGGAAGCAGGTTTTTAAGATTTTGATACATTCATCATCATCATCATCCAAGGTTTCCATCTGCATGTTTTCTCAATCTGGACCATGTGTTTTATAAGCATGTTCAGTGTGGGTTGCATTTAGTCAGGTATCTCCTTGGTTGTGTCCTGAATCCCACTAAGATGTCTCTCTGACAGCACAGAGGTGTTTTAGATAAGGCTAAGGCTTACCACAGGCTGAGACAACCCCTTTGGAGAGTGGAGAGCTGGGTAAATTAGAATGAGGAGGAAGTAATATAAGATTTTTCTCTGGAGGTACCAAATGCTACTCACAGAAAAGATTGGGAGAGCCCTGTGAATTTGCACGGCAAAACAGAAGCCTCTGGACAGAGCAATAGGAGATCCTTTGAAAGAATAGAAGAACTATGCATCTCCATAATTGAAGACAATCACTCCACAGTGCCTAGTTCTATTAGCTTAGAACAAGCAGAAGTTAGTGAAATGGGATCTAGCCCCAAGCATCTAGAAGTCTTAGCTTAGCTTCTTAAATAAATTGTTTATTAAAGCCAGTAAAATTTAAAGATAGAAAGTTTAAATTTGTTCAGTTCTACCCAAGGATTCTGTTAAGATTATGTCTAGTAAGAATGGAAATTGATTAACCAAAGTTGGTCTGTCGGAAACTAGTGGACACAGTGAGAAGGAATATTCCACTCATCTTCTCTGTCTTTACCATCCTGGTTGCCATCCCCACCATAATCTGTGATTTGTCTGTGATATTGTTGGGCCATTGTTGCACCGATCCTAGGAGGTGATCTGACTAGGTGCAGATTGGAGTCTAGATACCACTAACACCACCATCAGTTGGTTAAGTCCTGAAAAACATTTGATGTGACGTTCTTGTTTCTGTTGTTCTCTATTCTTTGTGTCTCCTTTTCCTCCCCTACCTGTACCTGTTTGTCTTCTGTTGACAGTGACTCTGGCTTAGCTGGCTAAGACTATTTTTTGCAACATGGGTGTGAGTCCTTGGCCAAAAAAGAGCTAGCATCAATTTCTGCATGTCTTAAACAGCTTGACACCTGGTACAAGTTCAGGTAGTCTCTGGGTGTTTGTCAACGAGGCTTAAAGGGTGCCTATATAAGTGCTCCTTTGCATTCTAATTAGAACACATCGTGTTCAGAATCATGTGTATTAAGCCTCTGCATATTTTAAAAAGGCTGCAGGGCACTAACTGAACCTCAAATGAGGTTTACATAAAGCATCCCATGACCATTTTTAAATGTGTGGGGGCTTAATAAATGTGATGCTGCCATATTTTAGTTAGAGTGGCTGCCCGGGAACCACTCTAATTAAAATGATCCCCCTACCTCTGAGCATGAGTATAGGCAACCTAAGCGTCAGTCCCCAAAACAAGATGCTTTGTCTCTCATTC